TGGCTGCTAGTGTAAGCACATATTTGTTCTTCTTTGTTCTCTTTTTTTAGTAGAACTGCCGCCCAAGTGTCAGATGAGGCATCTGTGGAGAGAATAAATGGACCACCATCTTGTGTAGCTTCTTTAGTCTATCGAAATGGTTCTTCTTTCATAGCTTTTCTAATTTTATTGGATTTCTCAGAAAGCTTGGGAATAGAGTCTCGAACATAATTGAGACAACCAAGAAATTTCTAGCATCGTAACTTAACTTGTAGCTTGTCTGAAAATTTTTCAATTTTTTGAATAACGTGGGGCTGCATCTGTATTTGGCATTTGGAGATATGTACACCAAGAAAATCAATTGATTCTTTGACAATTTGAAATTTGTCTTTTGAAGAAGAGAGGTCTATTCTGTGTATTTGCACAATTTTTGCAAATGCTTTGAGATGCTCCAGATGTTCTCGCATGCTGTCAAAAAAGACAACAAAATCATCTATATAGTCAACAATAAAATCATAGAATGGTTTGAAGATTGAATTCATCGTCCTCGAAAACTGTGATGGAGCATTTTTAAGTCAGAATGGCATCACTAGCCATTCGTATAAACCTTCAAGGGTGGAAAAAGTTGTTTTGTGAATGTCTTCTTCTTCAATTTTCACAAGATGGTATCCTGACTTTCAAATTTTGAGAAAATGCTTTTCTCTGCAACTCTTTGTATCAACGTTTCCTTATGGGTAATGACCATTTAATATCTATTGTTACCTGATTTAGAGGACTATAATTAACTGTCATTCTAGATTTTCCTCTTTTTCTTCTGAATGATACCTCACAATAAATGCTGCACAAAAATAATTTGACTGGGATGGCCTAATTAACCTTTTTCTATCAGGGTTTGGTTTCTATAAGGTTGCAACCTTAAACAATCAAATTAAGGCGCACCACCAAATTTTATCATAACATGTAATTTTGGTGCAAAAAATTCTTAGGATTATCTAAAAATCTATTTTCATATCGAATCATAAAATTTTAAATTCGTAAAATAGTTAAAATCAAGTAGATCTATAAACATAGGAAAATCTTGAAAATGAACGGTTTAGATAATGTATTGCAAGATGCACTATATTTGAGATTCAAAATCTTTGTTTCTTCATATTCATACATCTCGATGTCTAAATGATCAATTCGATGGTTTTTCAACATTAAAACAACCTTTTTGGATGGATTTTTGAGGCGCATCTTTAATTCTACATTTTAAGGTTGCAACCTTATATAAACTTTTTCCTTTCTGTCAATTCTATTATCTGAGTTTTCAGCTCTTCTTCATCCTCTTTATTGCATCTTATGGGCTTACTTTGAACTGGAATATTATGGAGAGTTGGTATATGGGCTTTGGGTGAGTCTTTATCAGAATTCTTTGGAGGATGGTCAAAACAACATTTTCTGTGGATTTCTGTGATTTCTTTTATATGTAGTAATTTTGAACTAGAAGCGTAATTTTGAACTGGCTTCTAGGCTCATGCCCTTTATTTGTCTGATGTTTTCATATTTTTCATATTCCCTTTCCAACTTTTGAACATCTTTAATAATTTTTGTTATAAAAGGATTGCTTTAAAGTTTGTTTGTTCTTGTTTTGAAGGTTGGTAGAATTCAAGGTAAAATTTCCTTTTCTCCATCCACAATAAAAATTATCAAATTTCTTGATATTGTGTAAGGGCTTATTTCATCTAAAGTTACAGAACTATTCCTGCTTGATATCCTCCATCCTCAATATTAACAAAATTTACCAAAATCACTTTTTCTCCAATTTTAATCAGGACATTAATGCAAATTCTATTAATTTTCTTCTACCATTCATGGTATCAACTTCTTGTCCTTGTGAATATTTCACTCAATTTTTTCATAATTCTTAGGTGCAAAAAATTATATTAGCGCCAGTATCAAAAAATAACTTTATCTTTTTCTAATTTTCACCTCCATCTATTGTAATTTTTCCTCGTACTAGTAATAGATTTTGAGAATGCACCATTTTTCGAATTTGATACATATTTTCTTTTGAAATTTCTTCCTCTTGGTTTTTCAAACAATTTCTTGTAATCACACTTATAATCACTTTGAAAACATTGTTTCTTATAATCACCCTTGTAATCACTTTGAAAACATTGTTTCAAGTGTTCAATATGAGCATCTTCATCAGAAAAAATTAATGAATCATTAGGTACATTATCATTGGATTGAGAGTCTTCTTCGATTAGGTACAGAGTCTTCTTCGTTTATTTGGTTGGGGCAGGATGTTGAGCAATCTTCCTTTTGTTTGTTCTTTTCTCCCGAGACTACATCTTTCCAAGTCATCTTCTTACTTTGTCCCACAATTTCTTCATTTTCATCATATGTACTTGCATCATTTGGAGTAGGAGTAGAAGTAGAGGCAGAGTCTAAAACTTTTCGAGATCTCCATTGCTTGTTTTTTATGACTCTGAATCAACTCCTAAAAATTCCTTTTCTGAAATCTCAAAAAACATTGGGTAGACAAAACCATTTTTTGGGGCTAAATATAAGTGTGAAAGAGCATAAATTTTTCCTTCATCATTATACACACTTCCCCAAGATTCAATCATAGGTACGAGATAAGCTTCGATACATACCCATTCTTTCCTTTCAGCCTTTTTCTTTGGGTGAAACACTGGAAGATCATGCATCATCCATGGAACAATCAAATCTCTTTCTCTTTCAGAAGAACATTTATTCCAATGTTGTAAGAACTTGATTTCAAGCAAAGGTCTCTCTTCAAAACCAATTGTTTTTGGCTTTTCTGAGTAGGTGATGTTATCATAAAGCCATGCACAAGCCATTTTTAGAAAAATCTTTTGCTCACCACGCTTCACTATAATAGAGAGGGGGCCAAAGGATTGAACCTATGGGCTCTAATACCATAAATCTTTTTTTTGTTTTTTTTTTTGGGTGTCGGGGGGGGGGGGGGGGGGGGTATTCCTAGTCAAAACTCCAAGCCCAATCTGGGAGCATTTTGGAAAGAACAAATAAGTTCGCAAAAAATGACACTATTGGAGAATGAAAATTTTAAGACATTTTCTAATCATTGCAAAAAAAAAAAAAAAGATATTAACCAAAGTTTTCTAGAATTAGAAACTAATACTTTTAATCTCAAGCTGAAAAAGACTCCTTTGTGAATTTGGATAAGTTAAAAATATTGTTAAATGGAAGTCGCTCCCAAATTACAATACAATGGATAATTGAAATTCGGGAACCTTGATCCTAACACAGCAAAATGCAATCCCTTCCTGTAAGGGATATGCTCCTTTGCAGTCATGGAACTCGATCCATAAAAGTCAGGGATCTCGATCCCTACATTTTCACATGTACGGAACTCATTCCCTCGACCACAGAACTTCGTAGCTTTCTCGTTTCATGCTTCTTGTCCCACTCCTAGAGCTTTTTTCGCTCTTGCACCAGATAATTATGTCCTCGGCACATGGCTGAAGGTCATCAAAATTCCCCTACTCAGAAGATGAATGTGAGCATAAAGATGTGTCAATCTCCAAGGGCTATGTGCTGAGTCAGTATGCCCACTCTATGACATTACGAGAGTCTCCTTCCTCTATGACATGATTGGAAGTGAAGTTGGAGTGGCCGACTGCTTTTAGTCCTTCGCCAAAGTGGAGTCGTTGTGGCCTATGAACTCTAAGAAGGAAAGGAGGATCACACTATCGGTGTTCTCAAGAACACCTCCAAACCTGGAGGGTCCAGGGTCCCAAAAGAAACCTATCTACATTCAGCTTTAATAAATTTGATGGAGGGGGAGACCAAAGAGTTCAACCTTTTGAGTTGAAGGTTTAAGGAACAAAATGCTCTATCAATCGTTTTGTAGAATAGAAGATCTTGAATTTGCTAATAGTGTCAATCTTTTGGCCCAGGACAAGGTTTCGGGCCTTACATGGTCTTGAAGGGTGTCTGTTATTGCGAGCCTATTCGTGGAAAATCTAGGATTTCATAGGATGGCCCATATGGAGGTCTTCCACTTAGTTACTGGGCTCTTCTAAAGAGGGGGGTTGCTTCTGCTCCTGGAGCTCGATCCCGCGCTACGAGACACGGGAGCTCAATTTTGGGAGATTCCATGATACTTAGGATATTGATTTGGGAAATCAAGGAACTTGATTCCATGTAATAGGATACAGATCAGTATGCCCAAAATCAAGGTTCCATGATTAAGCGGAACCGCAATTCCACCTACTTGGTATTGAGTATCCTCTACTTTGGGGTTGATTTTCTCCGACTTGGTTTTTTGGTTCGTATATAATGGTGTAGATCTCCAATTTATTATGACTTACAAACTTTCTGCCATGATCTCCTGAATATTTTGCAATTCACAGCGTTTACATGCCTTACGAATTGTGACTTTTGTCTAGTTTCAAAGAAAGGCAACAAGAGTGATCAAGAAGAGAGAAGGAAGTAGTTGAAAGGAGATACAAAAGCTAGTGGTGTTGCGGTTCTAGTGAGGAATGAGGTCACAATCAATATGCTTAACTTCCTTGGGCTGGTTTTTTGGGTCCTGTCCACCTCCCGAAGGACATGCTCAACCAAATCGGGCCACTCATGGGGTTTCCTTACGGGTGATAGGATAACGTGTATACTCGAAAAATATGTGGTCTCTCGTGTATATGTCATTGAGCCCCTAGTAGTCCTGATGGAGGAGAGTTATTAGGAATTATATATGGCAATGTCTTTCCTTTTCTGGAATTGACTCCCAAATTACAATACAGGGGATAAACAAACTTTAGGAAATATCAAATTTATGAGTTGATATTTATGTGTATAGCCGAGCTATTATATCCACATGAAATTTATGCTTCTGAAACATGCAGAAGACATGATATGAATGTTGTTCTGTGTAGTTACCATGCTGCTTTAAAAAAAAATTCTGTAATTTATTCATTGGATTAATTTCATTATTGTTGTGCTCGAAATATGTTTTGTTCTTTGTTTTTACTAAGCATGATGCTTTGCAGTTATGCCAGACTTTTCTCAAGTATATAGCTTCATTGGAAGTGTTTTTGATCCAAACACAACAGGCCACTTGCAAAAACTTAAGGCGATGGATCCCATTGATGTTGAAACGGTATGCCTTCTTGTTTATCTTGAGATTCTTCTTACTTACTTGTTGTAGAGGACATACATGATTCTAAGTTATAGCATGCCTTGTCTTTTTCTTATCCTCTTACAAGAGTGCTAATGTAAGCTTATATGTATGGCCTTTCATCTGAAACTTTGTTACTAACTTCAAAATCATGGTGTTTTTCAACATTATATCCAGCCTTTTTACTCAAAAGTTCCATAATAAGTTTTGTGATTCGTTTTTTTCTTTTTTTTGAGAATCGATTCTTACTTTTGATTTAGGTAAGTAGTTTGTAATTTCGTTATTTATGCAATGTAATTTATATAATTGCATGTACCTCATTTTATGTGGGTACGAATCCTTCATCTAATGCTAATTGGCGTTCAAATTATGGGTTCAGTTCTTATGTATCCATGGTCCCTAAACAAAGGCAAATTTTCATTATTCAAATACTAGGATCTCTTTCTTCATGAGAGGTCTCTTTGTCCTAAAGCCCCTAAAAATGAACCCATTCTCCCAACTACTTCCCAAAGCTTTTGGTAGGAAAATTTCTGTCATAACTCTGTGGGTGAATCGCAATGTTGTTTTTGGTTCTAGATCTACCACAGGTAATGATGTGACTGACTATTATGATGCCTGTGCGAGGAACAACCTTTTAGTGAACACTAATTTTGGTGGCCCATACTATTCAAAAATTGGGTTTCATAAGTTAATGAACTGAAGAAAATATAGAAAGGGCAGTGCTGCCTTCTTGGAGTTGAAAAGAAATCAGCCAATTATTGTAAATCGAGGAGAGAGGGAAAACAACGGATTCACAGAAACCTAAGAAGGAAGATTCTTGCCAATGGGAAATGCATCTGAGTCATTAGAACCCCCCCTAATGAAAAGGTTATTGAAATGGAAATAATGTTTCTGTTTTTGAGATGAATACCAATTTGCTTGAGTACTTTCTGTTTTTAAAAAAATTTGAGGTTTGGAGAAGAGTACTATGAAATAGTGACAAGCGACAACAATGATTGATGGGTAATTTTTTTTTTTTTAAATGGAAATGATATAAGCTTTGACAGGCATCACAAAGGAATATAATGTGTTATGGAGTCACTACTGATGAATGGTGATAATGGTTGGTAGTTTTATGTTGTATATGGACTATCACCAACCAAGCGTGGTGGATTATGTATATCCACAAGTACTTGGGGTTTGAATTGGTGTGTTGAAATTTTGTCCCTGGGCATAAGGTCCTTGCATGGAATAATGAACTTCCTCTCATTTTGGAAAAACCAAATCTCTTAGTCAGAACTTGTTTGTGCCTGATTTAATTGAAATTACAAAAAAAGTTGTTAGAATTAATAGGAAATCCCTTCACCAACAATGAGGTCACCAAGTTGTGTTCATTGAGTGAGAAAAGTTATGATATGACACAGAAGATTAGGACAGTCATGAGGGAAGAATTTTATATGATGAAAGAAAATATTACTCCATAGATAGAAGCTTTGAATAATAAACTTTGTATAAAATGGATAAACTGAAGACAAATAAAAATACCTTTCCAAAATATATGAGAACTACTGAACCAATTGGCATCATAAAATGTGATACTTATGGTAAGCTTGTTGTGCGTCCTCTTGGCAAGGCTAGGCACTTTGCTTCGTTCATTGATGTTGAGACAATGTATAGTCCAATGTATCTTGTAAAGCATGAGGTACTTCTTAAATTATAAATTATGTAAACTGCGAAAATGAAATTTAGATCGATTTGGATTTAAATCATGACATTGATAGGCATCTGGGTGGGGAGCTTATTTGCAGTTATTTTTATGAAATTTGAAAAGAAGAATTGACAAATAGAAGTCCCCCAATTCTGTCAGTTTAAAAAAAAAAAAAGTCCTCCAATGATGTCCTTTTCTTTGGGGGTTGGGGGGGGGAAGAGGAGAAGGGGAGTGGTGGTGTAATAAGCATGCATTTAATATAAAAAGACAGGTGACAGGATTTTGGGAGAACTTTTGGAATTTTTGTGGAAGTAATAAACATTTGAAGGTTTGATATTTGCTTTCGTTCAATGTCCATTATGTTGTTCAATTTATCCATGAGTCTTTTGGTTTATTTATAAAGAAGATTGTGTTTGTAATGTCTCTAAATAGACCCATTGTGTAAATGTCTTGCGAATAGTGAGCCACTTTGGAATTCCTCTCAGAGGCTGCAGTCTCAGAGATTTGCAAACCATTCTCGTGAAAGTTAAATGTTTCCCAGTTAATTCTAGGAATGAGATGAATATCATTTGGAATCTTCTTGGCGTTTTTTGTTTTGATGTCTCTTTTTTGTCTTTCAAATGATCTGCATATATGTGATTCCCATTAAGCAACTTGTTACTCAATTTTATCTCAAGTATTTAAATACTTTGGGAAGTTACTATTTTGTATCATTTGTTTGTAAAGTGAGGTGTCCATCGCACATTCCTAATCTAATATTTTTTCGAGTATAATATCTGATAGTGGCATTGTCTTGTTGGGAAGCTCTAGTTTTTTAATAGCATGTCAGAAAAAATCAATTTTGAAAAGGTTGAAGTTAAATATGATTTCTCAAAAGAAAGAGTTAAATCTGGTGCAGTCGTTTTCCTCAAATAAAGAAGTCACAGAAAAAATGGACAACAAGAACAAATTTGGATGTCTTTATATTTATGTATGAAGATCTGTCATAGTTATTTGTAATTTTCTATCAAAGGCAAGAGGAGAAAACGAGATCTTAAAAGGAATTTTAAAAGGCTCCATTCCTGAAGAGTTCTATAAGGATTTTACTTTTAAGCGGTGATCTCAAAAGAGGAGAAAATGAAAAAATGAAAAGAAAAATAAATCAAGTAATGAATTTTCATGCCTCGTCTCTAAAACAAAATAGAATTAGACCTAATGGATTCCCTTCAGCAACCTGTCACAAGGAGTTTACATCAGTGCAAGGTGGAGTCTTGCTAATATTATCTACCAGTCTGAATCAGCACTTCATTCATTATTTCAAAGTTATGTGCAAGTCTGAGGAATTTTACTTCGGAAGCCCCAAATCTTTGAAAAAGGAAGCCCAAAGAGTCATATAGCCCTCCCTAAATTTAATGATGAAGTGTTTCTTTGGAAATCAAGAAGTTCAAAAAGGAAACAGAGAATTTAGTTAAGAAAGTTCTATGATTGGAGATTAAGCAAATTTTGTGCATGGGAATATGAATAATATGGTAAAGAAAATACTGAAATTGGAACAAAGGATCAAAGAATTTGTTCTAACAGAATATATGTATCTTAACATTCATAATATGGGAGATGTTGAAGATCTAGGTAGGTGGTTCTCTCATAATTTGAATTTAAGGTGATCATTCGAAAAGGTGCAATTTATACAATGAGCACGTTGGACATGTATGTTTTGTAGAAAATTTTGAAGGGTCTCTTAGTTCTATAAAAGTCATTTTTATATAACTTACGGAAGTATAAAATTCATGACTATTCAAGAGGCACCCTTTTTGGGATATGCCACTTTGTATCTCCTTTTATATATATTTTTTTTATAAATATAGAATAATCTCAAGGTGCGCTCACAAGGTGCTTTGTGACATTTCTTCTAATAGTATCCCAAATATCTCTTTAGGTAATTTGTTTTTTCACTTCATTTGTTTGGATATGGTTGTTAGATTTCTAATTTCTAATTTCTAAAAGGTTTAGGTGAATTATTGTTATACTTCATTTAGTATTGCTCCTATGCCATATTGAAATTATCTTGAGAAAGTTATGATTTACGAAAATAAATTTGTCAAGACTATGATGCTCTGACACTATTTGTAGAAAGTTGTGCTCAACCTCAAATACTGTACTGAAATAATAGAAACACAATGCAGAGTACAATGGAAAATTAATTGTAAAATAAAAGGTGCAAATGATGCATAACAAAATTACTGTAGTAGTTCCCCGACCAGAATTGTTAAAAACACATAAAAGAAAAAAGAAAAAAGAAAAAAGAAAGAAAACACATAACGTTCACCAGACTGGGCTTTTATGGGTTGGAGATCATCTTGAATGCTTAGGTACATACCTGCCTAATTATGCATCCAAATATAACTGCCTTAGTAATGGTGATTTACCCAGTCATGTTTAGAACTGTTAAATAAGAGGTAGAGTTTATTTAGTGGTCTAAGAACTACACTAGCTTCTGTTTAACCTGGTCATGGTATGGAATCTGCATTTAGTAAGTGGTACAAAAGGTTTACAATGTTTGGACCAGTCGAACACCTTGGCAGCCTCTGGAAGTGATTTGGACAAAAATGAATGCCTTTCAGTTTGATGACTCTTCTGTTTCTGATACTTTTGTGTTGGACTTCTCGTCAAATTCTTTGGTATTTACCTGGTTGTTGTACATCCAAAAAATCTTGGATGTTCTGGAGATGATGTTATCTACTATTTAGTGCAGTAGAGCCTCTTAATTAAAAAGCCCACTGCATCAGCAACTGTCATGCCATGGAACATGTACGTGATTAAGGATACTAATACTTTAATTCTTACTGTGGTTTTCCTGTACTGCGACTCCATTTTGTTGCAAAGGGTTAGAGACGTTATTTTAGGGTTATTTCATGTGAATCTCCAGATCAGATCCAGGAAATCTGTGCTGACATCATGATAACTGTTCTTGTTGATTCAAATGTTTGAAGATATTCCCAGAAGAAAAAAAAAAGAGAGAGAGATTTGAGCTACAAAATGAAGGAAGACATGAAATGATATTTTTGCATCTCTACTACTAGAACTCTTGATTAGAAGCCTATGCTGATTTACCATGGTTCTCAGTTCTTAACACAGCTTAAAATAAAGAGAGAAAATGCACATTTCACTCTGTTTGAGTCAGTCACTAGTTCAAGTTTCTCGCTAAATCTCTGGAGTCAGTTATGTTTGTTGTCTGATCCTGTCTGGGGCATCGATTGTCGTCTGTAGCAGGATCATTGTATACATTTCTTTTCTGAACTATTATATTCTGAACTTTCTCAACATACCCATTATAGTTCTAAACCAGTTGTGGAAGCTTGAATTTTCTCATTTTGAATTTTTAGAACTTTTACATGGTTTTATTCTTAAGTTTTAGCGCAAGCTGCACTTATATCATGATCTGATGTCTGTTGGCTTCTGCAATACGGCCAGACTCATCTCGTAGTATATTTGTTGCTGTTGATGCGAAGCTCTTCAAGAGCTCATGGAATTGACTTATATGGTGCTTGTTTCAGGTGCTTCAATTGATGAGAAACCTCTCTGTCAATTTGTCTAGCCCAGAGTTTGAGGATCATGTGAGTACCTTCTTCATTACTGGGTTCTGTACCTTCTTCATTGTTTGGTTCTGAAACCTACCTCAGTTCCAATATCTTTGTACCCAAATTCGTATTTAAAATACTTATATTGAGAAAATCCTATTGTTGTTTTCTATATTGTAGGATGCATTTGCTTATTCTTATCTAGTCGAGTAGGTTGATTTTGTGTTATTTATTTATTGTGGGAGGCAGAAATTGAAAGACTTCATTAGGGGGTTTTTATCAAAACCATTAGAGATCACTAATTTAAAAACCAAGTGCGTGCTTTCTATTAAGTTAAAACAGATCAACTGACCACCTTTTGGAACCTATCGATGGATGATTGCCAATTGTGCTCCTCCACAGAAAATGTGTACTACCAAATTGATTTAATAAAAAAAATGGTATTAGATTCTGTTAGGGTAAAAAATTGTAAATTGCTCTCTGACAGTTCTGTCGTGTGATTAGGTGAGTTTTTTAAATAAATATAAATGTATAGTCGGTTTTGCAATTAACTACGTCTTTTGGTAAGACACGCCCTAATTTTCTTACAGATTGAACGTCATAGGTTGGTCTGTGTTTCGTCCTATTTGTGGCTGGCATTATTTTTGCTGGATGAAGTGATGTTAAGCATGACTTACACTTAAACCCAAAAAAAAAGAGTTAAGCATGTCTTCTGCAAATCATATTCAATTGTTATTCATTGTTGGACCTACTGAATAAGTCCAATGGCCTAATCTCCCAGGTATAAGAGTTTCTTATCATTCCTGGATGTACAGCTGATCATGTTGGTTTGTGAGACAAATAGCTAGTGCTGTTTATTGATGATCTGACGGGGATAATGGTTACATTTCTAGCTGCTTTATGCACACACACACACACGCACACGCACAAAAAAAGGTATCGCACCTTCGGTAGGACTGCTTAATATCTAATCAAGCATTGCTTACCTCTCTTTGAGAAAGATTATTACTCCTTTAGCTGATCAATTTGTTAGAGCTTATAATTTCAAGTTTGATACTATCTTTTCAACGTAGCTGATCCATTTTTATGTTAGGACTTACAATTGCATATAATAATGATTGCAGAGAAAGTTGCTTTCCTCATATGATGTGGATACCGAAGAAGCTGGACCTGTTTCTGCTAAACATTCTGACAAAACTGGAGATGGCACTATTAAGGTATCTAGCATCCCTCTCGTGATTTTGTAACTGATTTCATTTTCTTCATTTATTTGCTAATTATCATTCATGGACATCAGGATGGCTGCAAGTGACCATTACCTTGAAGTTGGTATTGATGTATATATTTTCTATGAAGTTCCCAAGGTTTTTTATTTACTTTCCCTGCAGCCATGACAACCAGCAGCGTTTCTGTATCCACTGCTTTTTTCTTGAAGAAAGGCTGAATAGATTGTCTTGCCCCTTGTGATCGCCTCTCACTTATGGTCACAAAAGTCCGTGCTGGGCTCATTGACTGCATTTTTTTTTTCTCGAGTGTATTATAGTTGTAGGATTTATGTAAATGTGTATTAGCAGCTTTGTATAGTGAGTTTGTAGCGTGTTAGTCCGAGGAAATACTCTTTTTAATTGTGTATAATATTGTCCTAGTATGCTTGCTCAACATAATTGCGATGTTTCATCTCAGGTTGTTCAATTTTGCATAATTGGTGGTCTGACCTCGATTAATTTCATTATATCAGTGTTTTAAAACCTGACTTTTTATCCATATGTTTTATTTGGAGACTTGGACAGACTTGGGTCGGACCCGATTGGTTGGATCACACTCGACTCATTGAGTTAAGTCATTCGGAACCAGTTCTAGTCGGACTCTCTGAATGAGATGTAATTTTACTTATTAAACTAATGTCCGGTCTATGTTTGTATGGTTTTCCTCGAGTAATCCTCAAGGCATCCGATGGTAATGGATTGGGTTGCAAATTGCTTAATGGGATGGATGTAAGTCATGATTAGGTGATATTTCGAGATATTGATAGCAAAATAATTTTTGGAAAAGGTGGGGCCAAAAGATATTTTGCTCCACATAGTGTCCATTTGCTCACTTGGGTCTATTGTTCCAAAAAACGGACCGCCCAGTGCCTAAGCGAATCCGGGGGCTGGGGAGCATCACCCAGGCTTAGGCGTCTTAAAAAAGCGGTGGTCTTTTGGTGTCCGCCTAGGCGTTTAGGAAATCGTTTAGGCAGCTGCCCAGTGTGGCTGCTAGGTCCAGTGCCAGCGAAAATTTTGTTGTGGGGAATTTTTTGTCCATTTTCTTATACTAAAGGGTCAAAACTGAAGTTTTAGGTCCATTTAAAATATAAAACTCATTGGAACCCATTTTAGAGATAGCCTCAAAAAACTAGGTTTTTTGGGTGATTTTTTTATGATCGAAGGGTTATCAAAGTTATGAGAAATTGATCAAGACACCACCCATTGCTATTGGATTTAATTTTTGATGTTTTATAAATCTATTGGGGGATTTAGAAGATTTTCAGTCTTTATAAGCATCTCTGAGGTGGAAGTGTGAAGATTGAGCAATCAAACTCAGAGTAAGTGATTTTTTTTATTGCTTGTATAAATTGCATTATTTTGATGTCTTTTTCGGGATCTAATATGAGTGGTGATCTCGGTTGGAAATATGGTTACAACCCAGATCTTAAGATAAAAATTGCAAAGATGCAATTTTTGTGAGAAGGATACAAAATGGAGCATAAATCAGTTCAAGAAACATCTTGCCAGTAATAGGGGGATGTTGCCCCATGTAAAAAGACTTTTGGTGTAGTTAAAGATGAAATAACTAATTTTTTTAATATGGTAAAAATGAAAAAAGATGAGAGATTTACCTCCGTAGTAGAGATTAGGTTTGGGATTCGGGTCAATTATGATATGATGATAATCAATTAGAAACCCTTTGATCATAAAGAAATCACCCAATTATGATATGAACTCTCTTGAATAACCCAAAAAAACCCTTCGATCTGGAGGTAGAAGTAAAACAATCTATTATTAAGGGAACGGGAAAGAGAGTTGTAATTGCTTCTGGTTTTGTTTGTTGGGAGTAAGAAGTTTTGGATTAGACGCCTTATGGATAGTTTTTTGCTTTGGCCTGATTTTGAGGTTGTAGGAAAGAAAACAAAAAAGCAAACCACTATTGAAAATAAAATGAAAAAGCAAGCGACAGATATAGCTGTTTATTATCTTGCTACATAGTTTTATGAGGCGGGCATTCTTTTCAATACCGACTTATGGTTATGATTATGGAGTGTGCGCTAATGTGTAGTATACTTTCAATGCTAATGTGCTCTAAATACTTAATTTTTATATTTTATGTAATATATAAATGTTTTTAGATTCAATTGGGCCGCCCAGTTTCCAGGCGCCCGCTTAGGCGCTGGGCTGCCTAGACGCCCAAGCTGCATAGGATTTGGCTAGCGCTTTTTTAGTGCAACGATCAACCTCAATTAAGTTAGTACTATTTTTGGGACCACAAATTTTGGGGATGTAACCTCTTGATTGCTACGATCAACCTCAAAAAAAAAAGGAAATTTTCAAATCTTAGTTTGTGTGTGCTTGAAAAGAATAATGTCTTGAGAATAAACAAGGAAATATCTAATTTTTGGAGGGCAAGATTTAGGTGTTGAACTCAAAATCCAACTTTTTTTTGTTTTTTTTTTTTGGAAAATGCTTATTGGGAGGATTTGTTCATGTACTCCCTTGGCTGAACACCTATGGGAGAATTTCTGAATCTGAAATCCTAGGAACTACCTAAGAATCATTAGACGATTATTTGATAAAGAAAAATTGAATCTTAAGTTTTTTTATTTGGACAGTTTCGGTGCAATATCAAGACTTTATTTTTTGTAAAGGGTGCGACTTGAAATATTTCTTTTTCGAGGTCAGTCCATGGGTTGGTGGTACATCCCCAAAATTTGGTATCCTATAGTTACTTCTACATTAAATTTTACCTGAGGGGGTAGATAGCAGTATGCTCCTGCAGGAGCATGAAATCTTCTAGTAAAACTCGTATAAAGAAAATCTTCCAAAATATCGCCCTTTTACCGCAAGGGCATGCTATACGCGCTCAAATGCGGGCATTTCTCAATTTGCCCTGTTGCAAAAAGTTAGTTAGATGCGTTTCTATAGATGAAGCCTGTGCATTTCTGTTTTCATTATCTTGTGGTTTTATCAAGTCCGTTTAGCCATCATGTATCCCTCATTTGCTTGCTATATCACTTTCCACATGCTTGAGAATATGGAAAGAATATGGCAAGGATATAGAGGTTATCGGATTATCGGGTTTCTTCCCACAACTAAATTATTTCTCATTTACAGTATGCAGATGATATATATATTTTTTTTTTTACGTAGATATAGAACATATAAATAATCTCAGTGTTATTCTCGAGTGCTGTGAGATGGCTCTTGGTTTAAAAGTTAACTCTCAAGAAACAGCAATGGTGGGGTGGTGATAGGGATTTTCTAAAAGTTTGAGCCAAAACTTTACGTTGCAAAGTAGAACAATTACCTTGAAGTATCTTGATCTCTCGATTTTTTATTCACGATTAATTCATATAACTTGGGACCCGGTGCTTAAAAGGCTTCATGTCAAGTTAGATTTGTGGAAGTCCAGTTTTTTATTTTTGGGAGGTCAAATAACTCTTGTGAAATCAAAACTGGTAAATTTACCTATTTACTTGGCATCGTTCCTGCAGATGCTGAGCTTGGTGGTAAAACTTATTAAACATTTTATGAGGAATTTTAGCTTATTGAACGCTTTATGAGGGATTTTTATGGAGATTTGTTGATTATCAAAGTAAATATCACCTAGTTAGTTAGTTGAGACAAAATATGTACCCTAAAAAAGATGGTGGACAGGGTATAAGAAAATTGAAGCTTATGAACAAAGCTCTGCTATCTAAATAGTGGTGGAGAATAATCCGAGGGCCTAATCAATTATGGAAAGATCTTTTGGTTGTTAAATATAGATATGATCAGATTTCACATTTGATTGCAAGGGGTAAGGGGGGTGTCCATCAATCTCATATGTGGAAGGGAATCTACAGTTGCAGATATATCATTGCTGGTAACACTAACGTAAACGGCTGGTGAGGAAGGGAGAATGCATTTTCTTTTGGTTTAATAAATGGTATGGAAATAGGCCATCGATGATCTGCTACCCTAAGTTATTTGCCAACTACTAGGACTTCGAATTTGGTTATTCAAGAAAGTTCAGGAAGGGTGTGGAGTATCTCTTGCAACTGCAACAGGGTTGCTGATGTTGTAAAGCATTTTGATAGATCAGGAATCTGCCTTACCTTCCTTCAAATGGAGTTTATGAGATTGTATGGGAAAGGGAGAGTGGTGGGGTATTCTCTACTATGTCTGCCTATCGATTGATATTCTATGATCGAGCAAGCTTAGCTGCGAAGTTGAGTAAGGTGTGGAAGTGGCTTCTTTCTTTTTAAGATATAAGTTTTCTTATGGGTTGTTGTGCAAGAGGTAACATTTTGCCTAATGTTTGCTTGATGTATAAGCAGGATGAAGAGACTAAAAACCTTTTTTTTTTTTTTTGTTCTTTTACGAACCATATTTGGAGGTGGGCTTTCAGGAAGTTGGGCTATTATCTGACGCTTCCGAAAAGTCTGTTGGAGGTCATTGTTCACTTGAACTTGTCAGGGCTACCATCTAAGGGAAGAATGATATAGACGCTCTTCCGGGAAACGGTTTTTTAGGAGCTATGGAGAGAGAGAAAAATAGAAGAATTTTTTAGGCTCGTTTTTGAGTGCAGACAGAAATCAAAGATAAAATTCTACGGTCTCTACGGAGTTAATTCTTTATCACCAAAGATGGTAAAGGAGTCTCACGTGTGATGCCTACTTGAATTTGGAGAATCACATTAATAGCTCAGTGCCTGAAATTTGCCCTTGTGGAATTTGGAAGCTTTCACCTGATGGTTCTTTTAAATTGAATTTTGATGGTGGTTCTTTTAAAAACACGAGGCTAATGGGTATGGGAGGTGTTTTGAGTGATTCGGAGGGAATATTATTTTCTTTTATGCCGATCCTTGTGGGATTTCAACAACCAGAATATCGAACTTTGCTCTCTTAATTATACAGAATAAGGGGATTGTTGGTACGATATTGGAAGAAGGAGACTCCTTTAATGTTATCAACCAGCTAGCAAAAGGTGCCATGGTCCCCGAGTCTTTTATGTCTTAAAGATTTTGGATATGTTGTGTCTTGAATGTATCCTTTACTCATGTACCGTGAGGCAAATGAGGTGATTGATTGTCTTTTCAAGCTAGGGAGTTCTTGACCGGATCTTGTTGTCCTTGATGCCATGATTTTGAACAAGTAATTGTTGTTTGTCGAAAGCTGATAATAAAATTAGTAATATTGTTAACAAAAACATGAAATAAAAACAGAATAATAATTTATCATTAAAAGTATGTGGCTGGTATTGGGCTACTAGCTGGCCTCCCCTAGCCCTATAATAGGGGGGCTTGGGCAACTAAGTCAATGTTCTATAGATACGGATATGGGTGTTGACGCCCACAAGTTTCATGTCATAAATGTGTAGTATGTTGGCAAAAAAAACCCACTTAAATATGTTTGTATATTAATTTTTTAAAATAAATATAAGTTTTTTAAAAAAATATATATTACAG